AAGTGCTGAAATTACAAGCATGAGCCACCACACCTGGCCCACAAATACTTCTTGACTGCTGACTATGGGTAAGACACTGTGTTAGGCACTGCTGTAAATATCATGATTTAGAGATGTTGCCAGAAAGCAAATTCTGACATAACACAGAAAACACTTTTGAAAGATAATACCTATCAATGGAGACTTAAAAATTATAATTTATTCTTATCAAAGCTACTTGTTGGAAAGGAAATATCATTTTGAATTACTTTAGAACAAAATAGAGGCTTTTTTTTCTTTTCCTCAAGTTTTATGGGAGAGTAGAAAAAAATTAAATGTTGAGCCCTTAAAGACCCTAAATTTTAGGAAATGGAGCACTACATCCTGAGATGCTCACTTTTCCACAGAGAATTCCAGAAAACCAAGAGAAGAAATAAGGGAACAACTCACAGCTCTAACTCATAGCTGTACCAAAGAAACAGTAGGCATAAGACCTACTGTTTGTGAACCTTTGTTGTTTAGCTACACATATTAAGTACTCATAAATTTATTATTAAATAATGCCAAAGTTCTAAATGTTCAGTGCATTATGATGCTGTTCCTCCCAATAAATTTAGGTCCTGTACATATAATAATTTACTACTTTTTGTACCTGTAGGGTATTATAATCTCTCGTGAAGGGGACCATCAACTCCCAAAGTGATGAAAAAACCACAAGTGCTGTAAATTCAAGCTTGTAATTTGTGGCCATGTGTTCAAACAGCATCGTCAAACCATGGGCTGCTAGGTGCTTACGCTGGTATTCCTCAGACCCCTCAATAGACACAGGTCGGGTCATGGAAAGGGATACATCCATTACCACCACTGTTGGCATGATGAAAATGATTCCAGTGTTCCCAATCAGAATGCAAACAGACAGCTATAAACAGAGAAACGCTGTAGAAAATAAATAAGGTCTTACATGTCATGGAGAGAAAAGATATTTTTCAGCATAACTTTAGCTAATTTCCCAGAAATTAGCAAATGCAAACACCATTTAGGTTGAGGTGAGGAAAAATATATAGAGAACTCAGTGAGAGGGAAGTGGGCAGCTTAGTTCATTGTAAGGACCACTCTTAGAATCACCCATTAAATGATCATAAATCAAGGATCATCTAAATAAATCTATTGAAAAAAAAAAACAAAAAACCCTGGTATATATTCAGGTAGCCCCTGACTTTCACACATTCGACTTTTATGCAACTTAATAAACTCCTGCGTCACGTCACCTCTCTAACACTTAACTTACTGAAGAACATTTCTAGTTGTCATATGGTGGTACTATTTGACAATCAACCATTGTTTTTTGGCACTGTCACGATCTTTTTGCAGTATTAGTGCATGTGTTTAACTATTTTGTTGGTTGGTGCTCTTGTTTTAGTACAATGAATGCTAAATATAAAAACGAAAGGGCTAGTAAAGTCATAAACCAAATTAGACAAATTGGAAATCATTAACCATAACAAAAGTAACAAACTATTAGCCACAGTAGTACTCATTGTACATAAACTGGCCAATGGTGCTTCAACTGTGAAGGAAAAGAACAAAATTTAAAAAATATGTTAAGGCCAGGCACAGTGGTTCACACCTGTAAGACCAGCACTTTGGGAGGCCAAGGTGGGCAGATGACTTGAGGTCAAGACCAGCCTGGCCAACATGGGGAAACCCCATCTCAACTAAAAATACAAAAATTGCCGGGCGCGGTGGCTCAAGCCTGTAATCCCAGCACTGTGGGAGCCCGAGGCGGGTGGATCACGAGGTCAAGAGATCGAGACCATCCTGGTCAACATGGTGAAACCCCGTCTCTACTAAAAATACAAAAAATC